TCGGGGTCCGGGTGCTCGAGAGTGCTCCCCTGCCCGACAAGTTCTTATATGACGTCGGGGATAACTGCTTTGCTCTAGGCTACAATGAAGGGGTGAAGGCCACACTGCCCATCTTCGTCGCGCTACAAGGTCCTAACTTCAACCTGGCCAAGCATACCGAGGATACCGAGCTGATCCGGGCTTTGGGAAAGCTGGAGAGAGATCAGCGTCGCGAGGAGGCCAAGGCAAAGGGTGAAGTCTCGGAACCCCCTTCCCCCGAGCCGGAGCTTGAGGAGGAGGAACCCGCTCTGGAAGATGCTCAGCCTGAATCCCCCTTTTTTTTGTTAATGTAATTAATCTTCCTTTGTTTTTGGTATGATTGTAAATTCCAGCCGGTAGCGCTGAGGAATACAACCACATTTTCGCTCCACAATTATCTCTACGTTCGTGTCCTTTTGCTTTGTCACTTCCTTTTTGTTTGATAACTGTGTGTGAAACCCTTATCTGACGCCGTATGTAATCTTTCTTTGGTACGTAAAAAGTCATCTCCGATGATGCTGACATCTCTGTTAGGCATCACTTGGCCTCACATCCTATATTCTGTTAAGTATGTGGGGACGAACGTACCCATCTCATGCTTGAACCTCAAACCACTCAGCCCCCAATCATTTCCATTCCCATTTCCCAACCATTAACCTTAGATAACAAACAACCATCCACATCCAGGGGAACTCAGGATACAGAACTAGTGCCCTCCCCTACAACGACCAAACCCAATCTAAGCACCGTACCCTTTGATGATCTTGTAGTTCAGATCTTCGACCGTATCCTAGAGACGGGTGAAGGCAACCGTACCCCATTTCAAAAAGCCATTCTTCTAACTCAGGATATTCAGAGCACATGCCGTGAGAATCTCCGCGGCAGCAAACGTTCACATAAGGATCCTGATGATTCAGATTCTCATGAGGAGGAGAACAAGCGCCAGCGGATACTTGAGCATGTTGCTTCTACAAGCCAATCCCCGCAGCCAAACCAACCCTCCACCTCTACCAATCAACAACCCACTACTTCAGCCAGCCAAAACAAATCCCTAGCCACATCCTCTAGCATGGTTGAGCTAGACAAAACATTCTGAGGCACATCTCTTATAGATGTCAACCAAGGACGGAATGGAAGTCCTGATGTTGTTACCTCGAGTACATCATTTGTATCAGACCATCAGCTAGAACCTAGTTCGAAACTGATGACAACGGGCAATCCTTGCGATCCCGGTGTTACTCATGACAGGTTATCACCGTCACAGCAATAGCAAGCTCACTCTAGCACCTGCAATGATCGGATACAAGATGAACTTTAAGATTTTCTAGTTCATGATCAGTGGCATCGCAAATGGACAGAGTGGGATGATCTTAGAGTGGAAGCCGAGCAGTATGAAATGTGTCGAAGGTGGCATCTCAGAGAGTTCCTCGCTAAGTATCATGCACCAATGATTGGACTCGATGAAGGTGAACTCAAGGAAGGGGAGAATCACAAAGAAAACCTCAAGGAACCAGAATCAGCCATCAAACAAAATCCAGCTAAATAGGCCTTGGAAATTGTCAGAATCAAAGCCCCCTTCCTAAAAGATATATGAGAGCGAATTTGGCGCCAACCAGAAAAGATCAAAAAATTCAGTGAACTAAAGATGCGTGGAATCAATCATCTCAAAGGAAAATATAGAGGTGGAAATCTGTACATGCTAGGACACAGATCCACAGGGGAACAACGACAAATCCTGAATCAAAATCTTGCAACTAGCGGATGTCCTGTTTGGAAGATCCTGAATGTAACAGAAGATTACCTGGAAACAATCAAGTTCTCGATTTTCCATCTTCAACGAACTGATGGATCAGAGTTTACCTGCCAAGAGAATGACTTCTTTCTACTTCATATGGATGATGTTTATCAAATGTTCATGAGATGTAGGGAACTCCCAGTTCATAGAGACAGACTTACTAAAGAGGGCTTCGAGGCTATCAAAAGGTTCATGACAAGACATGTACGATTCTATGCCTCACATGATCTCCAGATGGCTCTCGAACACAACTATTCAAAGGCGAATCTCACACAACCGGACTTGAAAAGACCTGGACTTGAGCCTTTCGAAGCATACCATATCTTTGACAATCCAGTCTCATTCATTTATCTAAACCATAACGATGAGAAGCGCCTGATGGTGGTTGATGCAATTCACAAATACTGTGATGGGACCCTGAAGATAATCCATGAATAGCTTAAACCAAAGAAAGACGAACTCGACAAGAAATCAAAAGAAGCTTCCAAAGATGAACTCAAGGAACTTCAAAGAGCTGATAACATTCTGAAAGCAATTGAGAAGCAACTTGACAGAAGAAAGTCTCTCAGGAACTACGAGCATGCACTGAACCTTCGCAAACACTATTACAGAGCTCAGAAGTAAAGATACCCAGCAAGACGGCACTTGATCACAAAGGGGAAGATTGTTAGAACTATTTTATTGTGAATCAAGTTTGTATGTAATGCCTTGTTCAATAAATTAGAATAGATGTACCATTTATGGTATTAGTATTATTACGTAATAATGGGTAGTGAGGGAATAAGGCCCAAAAAGGCTTAGGCCCAAACTCCCATGTAAACCTAATTTGGTAACCTGTACACACCTATAAATATGGGCGTTCTGTACAGAGCCAAAGAGTCAAAAATATACATTCTCTAGCCTTACGCTGTTAAAACAGTTCTCGATATTATAGAAGAAGAATTTCAATCCTCTGTTCTCGATATTGTTTTATCATTATCAGATCTTCTATTTCTCTGTTTATCAATGAATACCATCTAGCTGTGTGTTTGTCTACATCAATCTGGGACCAACACACTTTATAGAAACAAATGTTATGACCCTTTTAGTTGTGAGAGAGATGGGTTAAATATGGTACAAACGTGTTTGCCAGAAACAGATGACTCTAGGAGCATGCTGCTAAAACTCTGAAGGAGATGGCTGTCAGTCAGCTTGGGAGCTGACTGCCAATCTTTAGGAGCAAGCAGGCTTCTGAAACAACATTTCTGTTTATTTTAGTTAAAGTATAGCAATGAACTATACTCTAACAAGTTAACTGACTTTAGAGCTAGTCTAACACGTGTGCATGAAGGATTTACACCAATGGAAATAGGTCATTTTAAAGAACAGTTAACAAGGAGATGACTCACAGTGAACTCGGAAAGTTCACTGGACAGTTTTAGTGAGCAAGCTGTTTTGCTGTGAAGTTGTGAAGGTGGGTGAGTACTGAATATGTGTTAGGAGCAGAATGTAAAAGGTGACACAAGATATATCCTGGTTCAGAGGTGGTGTAATCCTCCTACATCTAGTCCCAACTTATTTCAGATGGATTTCCACTAAATGAATATCCCATTAAATTTAGTGCCCCAATCTACCTTTGGCCCAGGCGTAGATTGTGAGGTTTTTCACAAGGAACTAAAACATATCGTTCCAAGCTACTAAGTCCCCCCAAGTTTTTTCACTAATGACAATGACTTGCCAAGATCTACTCATGTCCTTGCCCTTTCTCACCTTCTGGATTTGAACACAAAGCCCTCCAGAATGTCTAACACTAGTCTAGAATACATGGGTGTATTGCTAAACTGCCAACTAATCTAAGCTCTATAGATGTGCATGAATTATAGCTAGTCTAAGAGCATTAGACGAGTGGGATGGCAGCTAAAGTGTAGACGGGAAATCAGCTGGCTGGATTTGTTCGTGTAGAGTATGATTTTCTTCTATCCACTTGGATCCTATCGTTTTACCACACTTGGTAATCCCGCAATCCTTCTGTATTTATAGACTTGATCATTGCATCTCCACCGTTGGCTGAGGAAATGAATCTTGACTGTAGCTTGACCTACTTGTTTTGTTCCACTTGACTGAGGCAACATGGTTTGTTTTTGTCACGTAGTGACACGGATCACCTATCTTCATCTCAACTTGTTTTCCTCATTTTAATGCAAGATTAAAGATGACTTATCTTCTTTCTTTTATGCGTAGAAATTCAGTATAAAAGCTGAGTGATATTTCAATGCTTCCGTACAAATGACGAACACTTGCTTTTGTAAATTAAATTTATAAGAAATTTATAATGTGTTAAAAATTTCTTATAAATTCACTTTTTATCAAGTTTGATATTTGACTGCAAGTTGGTCTATTGTCTAAGTGTTTTGTGTCAAAGAGAAGGGACAATTGGATTTCGGATGTGTTAGCTGAAAACCCAGTTTTCAGCCGGCTGTTAAGGAAATCAGTAGGCTGCTGATTTCAGGTTTTTTCCAGCTAGCTCATTCCTAACAATGTATACTAGTTAACTCTTTTCATACCTTTTCTTTTTTATCTTTTTGTTTTTGTTTTATGGTACATTTACTTTTCTTTTAGTACTCTTTGCTTTTTATGAGTACTTTACCATTAAATATGGAGCACATTACATATAAACAAAGTAGAACATAAGTAGTAGACTAGTCTAATACAGGGATAATAAAAGGGGTGACATCATCAAAACTATTACATTAATCATCAAAATCTAGGGGACCTAACACTTTACAAACGTCCTTTCATTTCACCAAATCCAGCCGTTGTAGTCACCTGCCATGTGGGGGCTCCTGATTGGACGGTTCTAATAGCCTCGCCTATAAATACTCCCAATTTCCGGGTATCCCTTCATCACATATCCACTCAAGCTAGCATGATTATGTCATTTTTCTCTCTCACTAGATCGAAACTCTTCCTCCGGTGATCTTTGCGATGAAACTCGTAAGTTAATTTTCCTTGTTGAACACGTGCCATGTCCAACTGCTCAGGCTCGTCCATCTCTATAGACGTAGATTCCATGGAAGTCTCCCACAGGTCTCGGAACAACGCGAGCCCGTACAACACGGGGTCTAACCCTGAGTCTGGCCCGACCGTAAGCCGCTCAGAGGATCTGCGAGAGGATGAGTGCCTCTCGGGAGGCGATTTATGAGTATTTGATAAGTCCATTTTTGTACTTATTTTTCTTATCAAATTTAAGCGATTTTTGAATAAAAATAGAAAGAAAAGGCATGTTTTAGATATTTTGGTTCAAGTTTCATGAAATCAGGTGAAAATCACATTCATAATATGTTTGCCGGGATTTCGGGTCAATTGAGCACAAAATGAGTCAATTTGAGTAACAAATGAAGTCATACCGGAAGAAGTAAGCATTTTATCAAGGTGATCCAGAAGGCAATCTTGGAGAGCAAGAAACGCGGGATTTATCAGACGAATTTGGCGGAGGGCGCCCAAATAGGCGCCCAATATGGCCGCCTGGCTGGCCGCCTACGGTATATCAAAGTCAACGCTCCAGTTTGACCCGAACCTGTAGAAGACAGAAAGCGGCCGACGGAGGAAGGAAGGCGGCCGCCCTTCGTGGCCGCCTGCGGCACAACGGGACAAGGCCAACCACCGGCCGGTGCGACTTGACGGCAGGCGGCCAGACAGGAACGGCAGGCGGCCGCCGTCTGGACCGCCTGCGGCTGACGTTGACGGGCTCACGTCGACCTGCCGGTGAAGACAACGGAAGGCGGCCAATTTTGGTGGAAGGCGGCCGCCCTCTATGGCCGCCTACGGCTGACGGAGACCAGCCCACGTGTCGTTGCCGGCGAGTTGACGGCAGGCGGCCAGTTGCTGCCGGAAGGCGGCCGCCTGCCCGGGCGCCTTCGGGGAAATTTTTCCTATAAATTGCCCGATTTTTCCTCAACTCAAACACACCTCTTCCAACCCTAAATCAGTTCAAAACACCTTCTTTCTTCCTCCATTTTCGAGCTCCAAAGGTCTTAGAGAGAGAGAAACTTCAAATCTTCATATCTTCTTCATTTTAGCTCCAAATTGTAAGTTCTTTATATGTATTTTCATCTTCTCAACGAGTAGAATCTGAATATGCACTTTGTTTGTTCAATCTGTTCTTCGAAAATTTCCAGATTATTTTTCAAGTATTTCGCATTTACTTCCAAAAATTAAATAAAATAGTTATTGTTGTTGAATTCATTCCAATTAATTATATAGTTGTTCACTAGCCTCAAGGTAGTTATTTATCTGAAGAAATTAATTTTTCACGAAGCATAAGTAATTTTTAATTAATTTTGGTAATTATTTGAGATTAGTTCATAATTTAGAATAAATACTAGAAAAATAGGAAAAAAATGAGTTCGGCCCTATTTACAGTTTAGTTAACTTAAATATCATCACTAGTAGTTAATATAAAATTTGGTACGAATTTAGAGTATTTTTTATTAATTTCGGTAACTACGTTATATTATTGCTTAAGTCAAAATAAATACTAAAAAAGAAAAAAAATTAGTTCGGCCTTAATTTCAGTTTGATTCATAGTAATATCACTCCCAGTAGCTAAAATAAAATTTATAACGAAGTTAGCATATTTTTAGTTGCTTTTTGCATTTTCTAGTTAAAATTGGGAAAATTATCAATTAGTTGTCAAAAATTGGATTTTAGGTTCAAAAATTGGTGAAAAATTCCAGAAAGTTATATTTTAGTTCCTACAAGTTTATTGTTCCAGAATATAATTTTTGTTTAATTTTTGCTATCATACATGTTTAATTCCTTGTTAATGTTGAATTTAATCATTATATTGTTAATTGCAAAAATGGTGATGAGTAGCTAAATTTGTTAGGGCATGAATTGAGAAAAGGAATATGGATTGACTTGTTGACCTAAAATTAGGGGTTAAGATTAATAAATTGGACTAGTTGTTTAAAATGATGAAATAGTAATTAATAATAGTTAGCCATTTTCATTAATTAAATTCTTGGAAAATTAGTTCTAACTTGTCTATGAGATTAGAAATTAATTTGAGCCAACCATATTTGAGCACATTAATAAGGCCTAGAAATAGGATAATTTAATGAAAAGGATTTACATCTTGTCTATGAGAAATAAATTCAATTGCTAAAATAAAGAGTTTAACTAGTTAATGAATTTGGCTATTTTTATTAATTAAAATATTGGAAAATTATTTCTACCTTGTCTATGGGTTTAGAATATAATTTAAGCCAACCATTTTAAACACATTAATGATACCTAGAAATAGGATAAATTAATGAAGATAGTTTCTATTCTTGTCTATGAGGAAAGAAATTATTAGTCCAACTTTAGTCTTAATTTCCCTAATTAAGAGGTCCAAGAACATATCCATTTCTAATTACTCAATTCATTGCCCTTATTTGCATCCTTGAATATTCAATCTTTATACATTAATCTTTAAATTGCACCTTGCTCCTAGTATAATTTAGCATAATATAGAACAAAATCACTTTCCTATATTGAAAAAGCTTCCAACGATTAGCGATAGCCCGTGACTAAAATTAAATTAAGAAACTTCTCCGCCATTCCTCAAGAGACACGACACTCGGGGAAAAACCGAAAGGTTAGACTCCGTTTTACTACAACGCCGCGAAAGCGGTTATCAAATGGCGCCGTTGCCGGGGAATGGCACGATTATTTCTTGATTTAGTTCTAGCATAGGTGAATTCTAGTTAGGGAGACTTTTTCGCCCTTGCGACAATTTGTATAAAGATTTCAGGATAAATGAATGCACACCCGCTCTAAAGGAGTGGAAGGTCTAATTGAACTTGATCCTGAACCTGAACGAACTTTGTGGAAAAATCTTTCAATCCACAAGAAACCAAGCATGGCGGGAGAAAAGACGGTGTTGCAAAATCTTACGCCGAACTTCATCGAGGATGATAGTATCAGCGCACCGGCAATCGAGGCAGCCAATTTCGAGATCAAACCCGCCATTGTCAACATGATGTCCAATCATCAATTTGGCGGGTCCAAGCAAGATGACCCTAGGGCCCACATGTTGTGGTTCACCCGAGCATGCCAAACGTTCCGCTTTAACGGAGTGACCTCCGACGCCGCAAAGTTGACCCTATTTCCCTTCTCATTACGGGATAGGGCATCTTTGTGGCTGAATAGCTTTCCAACGGGTCACTTCACAACATGGGCGGCACAGCACCAAGCATTCATGCAAGAATACTTTCCTCCATCGGCAGTTGCTAAAATTAAAACAGCAATTCAAAATTTTAAACAATTCCCGATGGAGTCCTTAAGTGAAGCATGGGATCGTTTCAAGGATATGAGAAACAAATGTCCACTCACACTGATGGATTCTAGTAGCTTGATGTTCCATTTTTACAATGGACTTCAAGTTAGTAGCAAAAAAGAACTTGATTTCTCTTCTCAGGTGGGATCATTCCTTGACATGGCACCCAACACCAACGAAGCTCTGGTGGAGAAGGTCACTTCAAATGCAAGATACTGGTATGACGAAAGAACTCCAGCAGCAACAAAACCAGGTTATCTTGAAGTTGACCAACTCACGGCCCTAACAGCAAAGATTGAAGGGTTGGTCGTGGAAGTGAAGAATTTGAAGAATGATAACAATCACACCAACCAAGTCAACAACATCGGTGCTGTCCCGAATCAACAATCATCCCGATACTTCGGGAACACAAGCTCTGCTCCACAGTCATCTCAATTTAATACTTTTTCACCTGTTTCTCATTCAACTGAACTTGTACTCTCATGTGAGATATGTTTTGGTCCACATTTGACCAACTCATGTCAATTAGTCGATGAATGTAATGTAAACAACAACAGGGAAGTGAACATGCTGGAGTACGGCCGAACAAAACAAGAAGGGCCATGGGCGAATCAGGGCAACAGGGGGGGTAACTCCAACTACCCTCCTCAGAATTTCCAAGGAAGGAATTACCAAGGTAACCAATGGCGGGGGGATTACAACAATGGTCCTCCTCGCGGCGGTTATCAAGGTAATCAAAACTACTCCAACAACAATCAAGGCAACAACTTCCAAGGTCGTAACCAGGGAGGTGCATCAAGCCAACAAAACAACCAAGCTTATGTGCCTCCACACCAACGACAAACGGAGGCTGCCCAGCCATCAGAGATAGGCTTACTGGTAGCAGAACTGGCAAGGACACGGGAGGAAATAACAAGATACAAGGCCAGCACTGACAATCAGATTAAAAATCTGATGATGCAAATTAATCAGAACAATGTTCCCGGTCGTCAGCCAGGCAACTTGCCTAGCACCACGGAACCAAACCCCCGTGAACATGTGCAAGCCATCACTCTCCGAAGTGGGAGACAAACAATCGTGGCTGAGCAGAAAGACAAGGAAGAGGAAGGTACCCCGACCATGGAACCTGAGAAACAAGCTGATGCTCCAACTGAGAAGAGCATGGAACCAACACGCCCTAACACAAGGGTCACTATCGTCAAACCTTCTCTCCCGTTTCCTTCACGGGTTAGAAATGATGACGATAGCAGGAAGTACAACAAATTCCTGGACCTACTCAAACAACTCCACGTCAACCTGCCGCTGATGGATGCCCTAGCGGAGATGCCCAAATATGCCAAGTTTTTCAAAGACTTGCTGACAAACAAGAGGCAGCTGCAGGAACTCTCAGTCGTGGACTTAAACGCAGAATGCTCGGCCGTGGTTCTAAGGTCAATACCCAAAAAGCTAAAGGATCCAGGTAGTTTCACTATCCCTTGCTCTATAGACAATTTCAATTTCAATAATGCTCTAGCTGACTTAGGGGCAAGTATCAATCTGATGCCTTCCTCTATAGTCGAAAAGCTAGGACTCGGGGAAATGAAACCCACCAGGATGTGTCTTCAACTGGCTGATCGCTCAGTCAAATATCCGAAAGGAATTGTTGAAGACGTCTTGGTCAAGGTTGACAAATTCATTTTCCCAGTCGACTTTGTAGTAATGGACATGGAAGAGGATAGGGAAACACCTCTTATTCTGGGAAGGCCCTTTCTGGCTACCGCCAGGGCCTTGATTGATGTCACTGATGGCTCATTAACTCTAAGAGTCGGAGATGATCTTTGCACCTTCCGACTCTCAGATGTTATGAAACACCCCACAGATTCCTTTCAAGGATGTCATTTTCTTGATACCTTTGAGTCTATTGAAGGGTATCTGTTTGGGGAAGAAAATGGACATGTAACTGATGAAGCATGTCTGTTAAAAGAAGCCAACAGTGATGTGAGTGATGCATGTGAGAGTTGTGAGGATGCGCTGATTGATCAAGCTTCTAACGAAGTATTGATTGAGTTTGAGGGGGAGAAAAATGAACAAAACTTGAAAAACGACCACCCCCTCGAACTAAAGAAACTGCCCGACCACTTAGAATATGCATTCTTGGATGACGAAGGCAAATGCCCTGTCGTCATCGCCGCACACTTAAGTGAGGAACAAAGGGAGAAATTACTTGGAGTCCTTAAGACACACAAGCAAGCAATTGCTTGGAAACTTGAGGACATCAATGGAATAAGCCCCGCCTTTTGTACCCACACCATCAAGATTGAGGAAGGGTTTAAACCAGTTGTCCAACCACAACGACGTTTAAACCCAAACATGATGGAAGTAGTGCGTGCCGAGATTGTCAAACTGCTAGATGCGGGTATCATTTACCCCATCTCTGATAGCCAGTGGGTAAGCCCGATTCATGTTGTCCCCAAAAAGGGGGGAATGACCGTCATGAAAAATGAAAAGGGCGAACTTCTACCCAGTCGAACTGTTACCCGGGTGGCGAATGGTAATCGATTACCGCAAACTGAACGAAGCCACTCGGAAAGACCATTTTCCCCTTCCCTTCATCGATCAATTAATAGAGAGGTTGGCAGGCCATAGTCACTACTGTTTCCTGGATGGCATGAGTGGATACTTCCAAATCCATGTCAACCCGGAAGACCAAGACAAAACTACGTTTACATGCCCTTTCGGGACCTTTGCTTTTCGTAGGATGTCTTTTGGTCTCTGTAATGCCCCTGCCACCTTCATGAGGTGCATGATTGCCATTTTTGAAAAATACATTGGCCACTTCATGGAGGTATTCATGGATGACTTCTCTATTTTTGGGGAAACGTTTGAAAAATGCCTCGAAAACCTGGAAAAAGTACTTATCCGCTGCAAGGAAACCCATTTAGCCCTAAGTTGGGAGAAATGTCACTTCCTTGTGAAAGAGGGTATAGTACTTGGACACAAGGTATCAAGTAACGGGGTAGAGGTGGACCGTGCAAAAATTGAGACGATAGAGAAACTTCCTCCACCAACCACGGTAAAAGCCATCCGCAGCTTCTTAGGACACGCGGGCTTTTATCGTCGTTTTATAAAGGATTTCTCTAAAATCGCAAAACCTCTCACCCGGTTACTTGAAAAAGATGCGGTTTTTATATTCTCTGATGAATGTCACCATGCTTTCCAAGCACTTAAAACACAACTGATCAATGCACCTGTGCTTGTGGCCCCAGATTGGAGCTTACCCTTTGAACTCATGTGTGATGCTAGTGACTTAGTAGTGGGGGCCATCCTTGGTCAAAGGAAGGACAAGAACTTCCACCCAATCTACTACGCTAGCAAAACTCTGTCAGGGCCACAACTCAACTACACTACCACTGAAAAAGAATTCCTTGCTATTGTTTGTGCTTTAGAGAAGTTTAGGACTTACATCATTCTTTCGAAGGTTATTATCTATACCGACCATTCGGCCATTAGATATCTCCTCCAAAAGCATGATGCTAAGCCTAGACTGTTACGCTGGGTTCTTTTGTTGCAGGAATTTGATATTGAAATCAGGGACCGAAAGGGATCTGCTAATCAGGCAGCTGACCACCTCTCGAGGTTAGATGCCGAGTTAACAGAAACTTTCGGAAAATGCGAAATTGAGGAGCTTTTTCCTGCTGAGAGATTGATGGCGATTTCCGCCAAGGAGCAAACATCGTGGTATGCCGACATTGCCAACTACCTTGTTGGTAAAGTCGAGCCTACCGAACTGACAAGGCACATGAAAAGGCGGTTCCTATCAGAAGCAAAGCACTATTTTTGGGATGATCCATATCTATTCCGAATTTGTGCTGACCAGGTGGTGAGAAGATGTGTTACTGAAGCTGAGGCAAAGGACATTCTGGAGCATTGTCACAGCGGTCCTACTGGAGGCCACTTTTCAGGGAATAGAACCGCAAGGCGGGTTTTGGACTGTGGGTACTTTTGGCCCACGATTTTTAAAGATGCTAATGAATTTGTTTCCTCTTGTGATAACTGTCAACGAATCGGGAATATTTCTGGGCGCAATGAGATGCCCCAACACTTTATCTTACCTTGTGAGGTATTTGATGTTTGGGGCATCGACTTTGTTGGACCTTTCCCAAGCTCAAGAGGAAACAAATACATTCTTGTGGCCATTGATTATGTTTCTAAATGGGTTGAAGCCCAGGCCTGTGTCACCAACGACTCTCGAGTAGTCGTGAATTTTCTAAAAAAGCTCTTTACCAGATTTGGTGTGCCTAGGGTTTTGATCAGCGATAGAGGGACTCATTTCCACAATGATCCAATGGCCAGAATTTTGGCCAAATATGGAGTCCAACATCGAAGCGGAGTAGCGTACCACCCCCAGACTCAGGGACAAGTGGAGAACGCTAACAGGGATTTGAAGTCCATTCTGGAGAAAACTGTTGCCCAGACCAGGAAAGACTGGTCAACTAAACTTGACGACGCTCTTTGGGCATTTCGGACTGCTTACAAGACCCCGATCGGAACAACACCTTTTCGCCTTGTATACGGGAAGTCTTGCCACTTACCCGTCGAACTCGAGCATAAAGCACTTTGGGCGATGAAAAATGTTTGTTTTAAACTGGATGCTGCAGGGAAGGAACGATTTTATCAGCTGAATGAACTGGAAGAATGGAGAGCGCAAGCTTTTCATAATTCCAAACTTTACAAGGAACGAGCCAAACTCTACCATGATCAACACATCAAAGCTCGTGATTTCAATGCTGGAGATAAAGTGCTGTTGTTCAACTCCCGGTTGAAGCTTTTTCCAGGAAAGCTTAAATCAAGATGGTCCGGACCGTTCAAGGTCATAAAAGCTTACCCCTACGGAACCGTTGAGATTGAAGATGCTAATGGGGGTCCCTTTAAAGTCAACGGCCACCAACTTAAACTCTACCATGGCGGCCCGATTGAAAAAAGCAAGGAGATTCTCTATCTCCAAAAATTTTGAACCAAGGGAGGACATTCGTCAAGCTAGTGACGTTAAAGAAGCGCTCATTGGGAGGCAACCCAACACAAAAAAAAAAAAAAAAAAAAAAAAAAACTAACCCAAAAATATTTTACTTTGTTTATTTCTTGCAGATGTCTGGAGGAAGACGTGACGATCCCATTTTCGAGGAGCCACCACTAGGACGGGAAGACCCGCCACCTCAGCCTGATATCCCATTTGCTACTATTGCTGATCGCAGACGCTTCCAGGCATGGGGGCAATACCGCACACTCCTTCCTCCCATGATCTTGGACCCGACGATGCTAGAGAAATGGGGGTACTGGGATGAGATTGATTCCCTGCTAGGAGACTCCTTATGGCGGAGGATTCTATTCGTTCAGGAGAGGGCCAGCCTTCCATTGACGATGGAGTTTCTGTGCTCCGTTCAGTTCACTCATTACGGACAGGCTGTGCAGGAGGGTGCTGTTATTGGGTCAGAGTCTCGGATGAGGTTTACTATTCTAGGCATGGAGCACTCCATCACTGTGGCTGAGCTTGGATGGAGGATGGGGCTCTATACTCCAGCATACACACAGACTGATGAGTTCCGTACTCTTCCGACCCGCTTACCTGAGGCATTTGACATTGATGAGTTCTGGCACAGACACTCCACAGACACCAGATCATTTCTCCGGATGCACCCCCATTCGAACAAATGGAGGGCGACTCACTGGTACATACTCTCGTTCGTACTTTCTTGTGGTTTTTTTGGACGACCTAACAACACAAACAGGTTGTCCAAAAAGGACATACTATTCTTTTGGAGTTTGATTCACCGCATCCCGGTGAATATGGCTGTCCTTATGGCTCGTTTCTTCCGGAGCCAGGGGAAGACTGTGCGGCGCACTATCCAGGCAGGGCCTTTCATCACTACTCTCGTTAGATCATTCTACCCAGATCTAGACATTCCAGGACTAATGCACTTACAGGATAGCATCCGCGTTCTTCGATCCTCATCCTTTACCAACATGAGGATCAAGAAGAAGCGGAACACTCAGGAGCTCCCAGGTATTGAGCAGCCGACCCAGCAGAGTAGTTCTTCTCGACCCTCAGGACATGAGGGATCTAGCGAGCCCTTTTCATCCCTGCCTAGCGCCGCAGATTGGAGAGCGATGATGGATGGGATGAGGAGTCTACAGACCTCAGTCTCAGAGATGCGGGTTGCACAGGATAGAGGATTCCAGGAGATGCGAGATGCGCATGAGACGGCCCTGGGAGAATTCAGAGACTTTCGATTAACTCAGGAGAGAGCCACCCAGGATATGCAGGCGGAGCTAGAGACCCAGAGGCTAGATATTGATGAGATGAGAGATTGGCTTAGGCCACACTATGGCCCTCGGGATTACGCAGGCGATGCTTAGTTTTGCTTCTTCCTTAACATTTTTTATTGTGTTTGTTTGTTTCTTCAGGTTGGACATTGCGCTGCTCTTTTGACTTGAATGCTCTTACAAACTGACTATGAATGATGTAAGGATTTTAAAAAACCATTTTACTCCTGTTTCATTATTCCTCTTCACAAAATCTTTTCAAAACTCAAGTGTGAGGAAAGAACCAAAAAAAAAAATGTGCCTTTATTTCCCAATTTTGTGCCTCAAAAGAAGACCTCGAGGGCGAGGTCCAGCTCAAGTGTGAGGAGGTTGCGTTTTACACTCAAAAGTCAAAACCTTGTTTTAGAACAATCTTTTTACTATTTTTGATATGAAACATTAATTTCTCAATTTGTTATCAATTCACAAAATAGTTTAGAAAATCACCCTTATTATAAGAATTTACTATTATTATTATTTTTGAAAACTTAAAATTGTTATGGGTTTTTGGTTGCGAATGTAAAGGTCTGAATTTGTTTTAATTAGACATTCATTTTATTCATTAAAAAAATGTTACTATTAATAAACCTCTTCAAAACTCATTGTTATAGGACAATTCCATCTCCGAAAAGGGGCTCTGTTTCATTCGCTAATCACAGTCTGTGAGAATGAAATATGCATTTACCATGGGATAACACCGCCAACAAGAGTGAAAAAGAGCAAAAAAAAAAAAAAAAAAAATGGTGAACAAGATGAATGTCCAAATTAGAATAATGAAAATCTTGGGATAAGGAATTGATTGGTGGTTTAACATAATAAATAGTTTTTCGTAAGTAATACTAATTTTAAACTCTTGTATTTTGGGTGATTTTTCTAAAATGTTTAAAGATTGAGAATAAAAAGAAGAGGTTTTTGTTTCTACTTCTTTAAAATAGCAATTAGATTGTAATACAGTTAGACTTTACCTTTTGAGTGTGTTTACAACTAATTCGTCGCTTGAGGACAAGCAACGCTTAAGTGTGAGGAGATTGATAAGTCCATTTTTGTACTTATTTTTCTTATCAAATTTAAGCGATTTTTGAATAAAAATAGAAAGAAAAGGCATGTTTTAGATATTTTGGTTCAAGTTTCATGAAATCAGGTGAAAATCACATTCATAATATGTTTGCCGGGATTTCGGGTCAATTGAGCACAAAATGAGTCAATTTGAGTAACAAATGAAGTCATACCGGAAGAAGTAAGCATTTTATCAAGGTGATCCAGAAGGCAATCTTGGAGAGCAAGAAACGCGGGATTTATCAGACGAATTTGGCGGAGGGCGCCCAAATAGGCGCCCAATATGGCCGCCTGGCTGGCCGCCTACGGTATATCAAAGTCAACGCTCCAGTTTGACCCGAACCTGTAGAAGACAGAAAGCGGCCGACGGAGGAAGGAAGGCGGCCGCCCTTCGTGGCCGCCTGCGGCACAACGGGACAAGGCCAACCACCGGCCGGTGCGACTTGACGGCAGGCGGCCAGACAGGAACGGCAGGCGGCCGCCGTCTGGACCGCCTGCGGCTGACGTTGACGGGCTCACGTCGACCTGCCGGTGAAGACAACGGAAGGCGGCCAATTTTGGTGGAAGGCGGCCGCCCTCTATGGCCGCCTACGGCTGACGGAGACCAGCCCACGTGTCGTTGCCGGCGAGTTGACGGCAAGCGGCCAGTTGCTGCCGGAAGGCGGCCGCCTGCCCGGGCGCCTTCGGGGGAATTTTTCCTATAAATTGCCCGATTTTTCCTCAACTCAAACACACCTCTTCCAACCCTAAATCAGTTCAAAACACCTTCTTTCTTCCTCCATTTTCGAGCTCCAAAGGTCTTAGAGAGAGAGAAACTTCAAATCTTCATATCTTCTTCATTTTAGCTCCAAATTGTAAGTTCTTTATATGTATTTTCATCTTCTCAACGAGTAGAATCTGAATCTGCACTTTGTTTGTTCAATCTGTTCTTCGAAAATTTCCAGATTATTTTTCAAGTATTTCGCATTTACTTCCAAAAATTAAATAAAATAGTTATTGTTGTTGAATTCATTCCAATTAATTATATAGTTGTTCACTAGCCTCAAGGTAGTTATTTATCTGAAGAAATGAATTTTTCACGAAGCATAAGTAATTTTTAATTAATTTTGGTAATTATTTGAGATTAGTTCATAATTTAGAATAAATACTAGAAAAATAGGAAAAAAATGAGTTCGGCCCTATTTACAGTTTAGTTAACTTAAATATCATCACTAGTAGTTAATATAAAATTTGGTACGAATTTAGAGTATTTTTTATTAATTTCCGTAACTACGTTATATTATTGCTTAAGTCAAAATAAATACTAAAAAAGAAAAAAAATTAGTTCGGCCTTAATTTCAGTTTGATTCATAGTAATATCACTCCCAGTAGCTAAAATAAAATTTATAACGAAGTTAGCATATTTTTAGTTGCTTTTTGCATTTTCTAGTTAAAATTGGGAAAATTATCAATTAGTTGTCAAAAATTGGATTTTAGGTTCAAAAATTGGTGAAAAATTCCAGAAAGTTATATTTTAGTTCCTACAAGTTTATTGTTCCAGAATATAATTTTTGTTTAATTTTTGCTATCATACATGTTTAATTCCTTGTTAATGTTGAATTTAATCATTATATTGTTAATTGCAAAAATGGTGATGAGTAGCTAAATTTGTTAGGGCATGAATTGAGAAAAGGAATATGGATTGACTTGTTGACCTAAAATTAGGGGTTAAGATTAATAAATTGGACTAGTTGTTTAAAATGATGAAATAGTAATTAATAATAGTTAGCCATTTTCATTAATTAAATTCTTGGAAAATTAGTTCTAACTTGTCTATGAGATTAGAAATTAATTTGAGCCAACCATATTTGAGCACATTAATAAGGCCTAGAAATAGGATAATTTAATGAAAAGGATTTACATCTTGTCTATGAGAAATAAATTCAATTGCTAAAATAAAGAGTTTAACTAGTTAATGAATTTGGTTATTTTTATTAATTAAAATATTGGAAAATTATTTCTACCTTGTCTATGGGTTTAGAATATAATTTAAGCCAACCATTTTAAACACATTAATGATACCTAGAAATAGGATAAATTAATGAAGATAGTTTCTATTCTTGTCTATGAGGAAAGAAATTATTAGTCCAACTTTAGTCTTAATTTCCCTAATTAAGAGGTCCAAGAACATATCCATTTCTAATTACTCAATTCATTGCCCTTATTTGCATCCTTGAATATTCAATCTTTATACATTAATCTTTAAATTGCACCTTGCTCCTAGTATAATTTAGCATAATATAGAACAAAATCACTTTCCTATATTGAAAAAGCTTCCAACGATTAGCGATAGCCCGTGACTAAAATTAAATTAAGAAACTTCTCCGCCATTCCTCAAGAGACACGACACTCGGGGAAAAACCGAAAGGTTAGACTCCGTTTTACTACAACGCCGCTGTTGAGGTTTATTCCCGAAGATCCGAAAGCCCAACACAAGCCTTGGATATTATAGGGATATTGGGTAGGGTTGATTGAAATGTGTGTAAAATATAAAATAGTGAAATGATATCCAACTCAAGAACTTACTTATATTCTGTAATTAAGCAATTACACTGAAACTACCCGAACGGTAGATGAATATGAGATTACAAGGATGGGAGATGTAAATCTATTGCTAAGTTCTGAGCATTAAAATGCTAACCCTTTACAATGATCTAAACATGGATATTTATACTAAAATGGGGATGGGTAAGGTGGACACGTGGTCGAATCTGGTAGGCTATCACCTCTGCCATGTAAGCACCCATGCCCCCACTTGCTGCCGCCATGATTCAGCATTAAATGCGGCCTCCACTTGATGATTGCCCGTTCGGGCAAGCTGTTCGGTGCGTGGGACCCCGTCATAGGTGTTATCCTGCTTAGGAACACATCCCGAACGCCGATCGAGAGTTCTTTTGGACTGCCTTGGGCCCGCTGTTTCTTCCTGGATTTGGGCCTAGGGATATTGGGCCTGGACCCAATATCCCAACACTAGTCCCCCACTTCCTATGTTTCGAACGGTAGTGAGAGCATAAGGAAGTAGAAGATTATTACCCGAATGCTGTTCGGGTGAGTATCGGATGGCATTCCGCCGGTTCCCGAGGCATATTTTGACGGTTATTTGCAACTGTCGTTTCACTTCTCCGATAAACGCCATGATTACCTGAGAAGGATTCTCTGTGTGACACGTGTCTCTGTCATCATTACAAAAAACGTGTCCTCTTCTGATTGGCAGCTGAATCGGCGTGACAGAGTATAAATAGGCTCTTCTGGGTTTGATTCTGGGTTTCGAAATTTTGCATCTCCGGCTTAGTACTCTGCCTTCTCTCTAGAGCTTCTTCCGCTGCCTCTGTTCAGGTATCCTTCGAACTTCCTTCTACTGTTTATTTCCCTCGTTCGGTGAGAATGGCACCCCTTCGTTCATCTGAACCTTCTACTTCCGGTACCGCAATCCCAGAGAAAAACCCCAACGATGTGCTGCAAGTCGTCCCTATTCCGGCGGAGGTTAACGGTGATGATTCCTCTTCCTCCTCCGACGTTTACCCTGATGGCACCAAATCGGGGGATGAAATGGAAGTTATGAAAGCCGGTCCTCCAAGCGGTGTTTCCTGCCATAAGCTTGACCTAGCCCTGATTAGGCTTAGGCGCCAAAAGCTCACGGCCCAGAACCGGGCCCAAATCCAGATGTTACTTCCTGATTCGGTGAACTTCCGCCTCCAATCGGGGC